GAACCACAATACTCATTAAGGTCCTGTCACTTTGTGACAAACAGCCCAGCTTCCTCAGACTTATGTCAAATTGCCCCAGCTAACAGCAATGATGACATTATACCACACCAAGCTCATTTAGTTCTTGATCTTGCTGCGGAAACTGCTACGCAGGTGTCATCTGGTGGCACCCATGCTGATGATTTAGTAATGGTGGCCATGTATCTTTGTCAGCCAATGGGAGGTCTGTCTAGTGCCTTTATGTAAAGAAAACTTTCACAGAAGTCTCAGGGAGTTTTAGCTAAGGGTTGCAGGCTTGAAACATTTATTGTCTTAGTTTAAGACAAACCTTGGACCAAGATAAAAGAGGCACTGTTTTTCCTATTACCCCAAGCCCCACACACTTTTTTAAACATTACTGGGTCCATAAGTTTCAAAGATTCCATAAATTTCTCATTACCTGTGTACTCAGGAAAGCAGATTGTCAATGGAGATTTCTTAATTTTCTCCTCAAAAATGTCCTTCTTGTTTAGAAAGAGGATGATGGATGTGTCTGTGAACCATTTGTTGTTACAGATACTGTCAAACAGCTTCAGTGATTCATGCATGCGGTTCTGCAACACAAAGGAGAGGACACATCAGGGCAAAGATAGTGACTATGTGATATTCAACATGTAGGGCAATCTAAAATAACTAAATTAAAGAGGGAAAAAAATAAAAAAATCTACAGTATATGTAATAAATGTATGTATACGTACAGGTGAGCATATACATACACAGATGCAATCCCTATGATTATTATGTACAGTTAGTAACATAAGGGTATTTAACTATATAAGAGCTGTTTATTTTGAATAGCATGTAGTTTAAAGGTTGTCAGCTCATATAAATCATCATGCACCATGCATGTATGGGGAAGCTACTTCTGCCCTTCAGTCAGATCTGTGCTGGTGTAGGTCATGCAGATTTTCTAAAATGTTCTCATTAAATTTTTCCCCTTCTTTTGTGTGTGGCACACAATTGGTTTGACACATTAACCAAGGACTGGTGAGTTCCTTGAATTAATCCAGAGTTGGAAGCAGGCAGTAAGTGACAACTTCTTGGCAATGACCTTGCTGTGACCTTTGCCTCATTTTTGTTATTTTGTTTAGTGTGGTGTTTTTGTAGGACTTTTTTAGTGTGATTTTATTTGAAGATGGCTTGATAAAAAGCATCTAGCAAAGAAAAAAAGAAAAGAGAAAACCATAATGGAGGGGACCTACAAACAACCAGACTACTAGTCAGCAGACTAACCCAATAGTGTTAGCTCATGCCTCATGGAAGAACATTAGCTTGTTTGCCAATAAAAGAGTTAAAAGTTCAAACACGCATGGAGGTAGAAGGCAGTGTGTTTTGGTTATAAATCATGCAGTAAATGACAAAAAGAAAGGAAACAGATAAAACATAAGAAATTTAAGGTATTGGTTAGGAAGTTGCAAAGTCTGCCACGTGGTCTATGGTGGTAGAAAGAGCTCACGGCAAAGTCAACCAGTAGTGTCATGGTCCACTGCTGCTTTCAACTCTTAACTTGTTTTTTCTTGGTTCAAGAGAAGCTTCATACCTGCCAAATTTGGTGGGTCTCTCAAAACCTCATTTTTTGGCCTTTGTTTGGTTAGATAAGGTCAGACGGCCGAGGAAAAGTTGTGAAGGTGCTGAGGCTTGGTGATGTTTGGAGCAAGAGGCCGAAGCTGGAGCGCACACGCCGGTTGCGTGGCCGCCTCCCAACCAGGAACGGGATAGCAGAGAGAGCAGGCATAATGAGGATGAAGCACACCCAAAGAGTCATGGGATTATCAAAGGCAAATGAGGCTATAGACCAGACTGCTTTCTTGGCTTTCGTCATTGGCAGCACCTCGGATAGTGCATCCCAATCCCACTCACACTCATACAAGACTAGCAGACGTTAAAATGAACACAGGCAATAAGCGAGAAAGAGAAGTGCTACGTACTTCTAATCTGTTAAATCCTTTCAGTGGTGGATGTGGCCCAGCCCACCTGTATTTAGACACACAAAATGACTTGTACAGTGTGCAAACAGGGA